CAATGACAATTTGGCTGAAGAATTGGAAACTTGTAGCAACTTCCATAAACATTTTTTTCAAAGACTCAAAAGGTTGGGTGAAGAACTTGAAAAGAGGATCTCCACTCATGTGCCAAGATATCATGCTTTTTTATGATGTCTGAGGCGGCTACCTGCCTCATTAAAGCTTCTTTGGCCAATGGCATAAATGGGCAGATCAAGCAGACTGGGAAAAGTTGACCGACATGCTAGTTGGTTTCTGTAGCACCACGGATCTAAGTTGTATAATATTATCTGTTCGTATAACATCTCATGATTTTAAAACACGTTGAATAATAAATATTTAAAATTTATATTTATGTACTATTCTACACTCACCTCAATCAAACGATATTGAATAGGGTCAATACAATTCATCCCCCTTTAAGCATTGTCTTCACACAAGTGATGGGGCCTTCACCCTACTGAAACAATGGTGCACTAATGGTTGCATAGCCTTAGATGACATCCACATTACGAAAGTCAATGGGCTCTAATGCCAATTGTAAAACACAAAACATGAATCACATAGTAAAAGTCCGAAACTTACATTTGTATGTGTCACTTTATACTCATTTTTACCGAGTGATCTGAGATTGAGAATCACCCACTAATGAATGATGGGTGAACCTTGGAGACTTTTAATTAGTGGTGTCAGTCCATACAAGTGTCAGCATCTACATCAGCATCAGCACCAACAGGGCTATTTGGGATTAGAGTCATTAAAATTGAGAAATATTAATGAACTTACTGATTCAATGGTCCCTTTCATTTGAGATATAAATTTGAGTTATAAAGCATTACTCCATGGAATTTACATTGTTCGGTGAAATGTACTTTATAAATGTCACAAATAAGTTTTTGGTCCAATGATACTCTTTACCTTATAAAACTTTTACCTTCTTAAGGTCAAGGGTTCAAGTCCCCTTCCCTTCCCAAAAAAAAAACAAGTTACATAGATGTGTACTTTCAAATTCATGTGATGGAAGTGTATATATGCACATGATATAAAATATTGGTTACCAACCATCCATAATAATTAAAAAAAAAAAACTTTATAAATGTGAACCTGAACCTTAATCAAGTTATCTGATCTCTTCAATGAATTACTCAAACCCATCAATCATTTTTGTAAATAACATTTTTTATGGAATAAAATGCATTTATATTATTCTGATTTTTTTTTCAGATGGTAAATAGTTTATTGATCCGAAAATATAAGATGTACAAATTTTTATTTTCACAGAAGGGACTTCTGTATTTTAAGAAATTTCAACAAAGAAATTAATAAAAAAAAATAAGAAAACAAATAATTTTGCCAGTACTTTTAGACAAAGAAATCCACTTGGTAATATGTAATATGTAATATGTATGTATCATATAGATCTCCGAACTGCTCAACCAAATTTTTTTTTTTTAAATAAGGCGTTGGAGTAAAAGAGAGTGTCTAAAGACTATCCTGATAGACACTCACTAATGAAATCCCAATATGGATTTCAAAACTCAAACTTCTAATTTTAAGGAAATGAAAAGTTCGGCCAATATCACTGGACTACTCTGCTCGAAGATTTTCAACCAACTAATTATTGATTTATTAATTGTTTCTCTCATTCATATCTGTCTAAGCACAGGTGTCTCGCTTGCCATGCGATAATCACAAACAAAAGTAACTAGAAGTGGCATAAAGACATGAAAATGACTAGGTGGGCGGATCGAGTCATATAATATCATCTACATGTGTCGTGTTGTTTCGGTCTTGTATCGTGTTCGTATCACGTCCTGTGAGTTCCCCTAGCCATTCGATATTTACACACAAACGTCACTGTAAAGTGATATAAAGAACATGAAATTGTCACACTGTTCTCAAGTTTCATTAAAGCTGGTCACCTGCCAAAACATAGCAGAGAGAAAACCATGTATCTTGCAGAAAAACTCCAGATTTTTTTGATTTCAGTGCTTCTATTCGGATCTTGTTATTCCATTGACACCATTACTCCAAACCAACCTATCAAAGATGGTGACATTTTAGTTTCTAACGGAGGATCCTTCGCACTCGGGTTTTTTAGCCCCGGCAGTTCTAATAACCGATATGTCGGTATCTGGTACAACAAAGTATCAGATCAAACAGTAGTTTGGATAGCAAACAGAGACAATCCAATCACCAACACTGCCGGAGTTCTCTCCGTCGACAAAGCCGGAAATCTCGTTATACATGACCAAAGCGGAGATATTCCGGTCTGGTCAGCTAATGTTTCTTCCACGTCCGCGACGAATACTTGCTTAGCTCAGCTCTTGGATTCAGGTAACTTGGTGTTGCTTCAAGGGGATAGCACAAGGGTTGTTGTATGGGAAAGTTTTGATTATCCTACAAACACTATGCTTCCATACATGAAACTTGGGGTGGACAGGAGGACCGGTCTGAACCGGTTCTTGACATCTTGGAAGTCAGGTGAGGATCCGGGGACCGGAGAGTATTCATATAAAATGGACCTTAACGGTTCACCCCAGATTTTCTTGTCCAAGGGTTCGACTAGGGTATGGCGAACGGGGCCCTGGAATGGGGTCAGATGGAGTGGTGTCCCAGAAATGACACCTAATTTCATCTTCAATGTCTCCTATGTCAATAATCAGAATGAGGTCTCAATATTGTATGGTATACATAACGCTTCGATTTTCTCAAGAATGGTGATTAATGAGTCTGGGGTGATCGAAAGACTAACGTGGCAAGAGAGGGATCGTAGATGGGTCGGATTTTGGACGGCGCCCGAGGACAAGTGTGACAATTACAATAAATGCGGTGCGAATAGTGATTGTGACCCATTTAATTCAAATGGGTTCGAATGCACTTGCCTTCCGGGTTATGAGCCCGCATCAGCACGTGACTGGTACTTACGGGATGGTTCCAAAGGGTGCTTGAGGAAGCAAGGGGTACATGTTTGTGGAAACGGAGAGGGATTTGTTAAGGTGGCACGTGCAAAGATCCCGGACACTTCGATAATGGCACGTGTGGACAAAAATATGGGATTGAAAGCATGTGAGGAAATGTGTTTGAAAAATTGCTCTTGTACAGGGTATACAAGTGCTAATATTAGTGATGGAGGAAATAGTTGCTTGGCTTGGTATGGGGACCTGATAGATACAAGGCAATTTCTAAATGGGGGCCAGGATTTATATGTCCGTGTGGATGCAGTTGAGTTAGGTAAGCAATCAATGGTAATTGTTCATATTCATAAGAGGGTAAATATCTTTGACGGGTAACGTTGATTTTTTGTTATTATTCACAAAAATGTCATTTACGATATTATATCATACACAAACCAACATCATTTTGCATGTGATAACCCACGGATACTGCTGTTGACTGGTGGGCCTGTGTTAGTCAGCCCGTCTCGATGTCGATCAACTCTTATACTTTTTATAGCCTTTTAAATTATTCAAATGATTGAGTTTAGTCGTTGGCCACTGCTCTCTCCCGCGTAATAGTGCCTGATCAAAAAGGAAAAAAAAATTTAATCTGAAGTTTGATTTATATTTTTTCAGCTCAATATTCAAAGAAGTCAAAGGGCTTTCACGGCAAAAGGTTGGTGACAATTGTGGCAGTATCCATTGCTGCAATGTTCCTCATACTCTCCTTGGCTTGTTGGTTAATCATGAAGAAGAGGAAAGGTAAAACACACGATCATATATATATATATATATTTGTGTGTGTATACATATTCCTATCAACATTTTCACAAGTGTTAGCGAGATCTCAGGTGCCTGCCAAGGGTACTAATGCATATTAGTGCATCTAATTTTTTTATCTATGATCGGAAGAATAAAAGACAAGTATCATGATTTGCTATCTCTATTGATTAAATACTCAACCACCACCACTAAAATCTAATAATAGCCAACGACCACCCCTAAATGCCACCAACCAATCAAGAGACGCATTCTTCATCACTTGTATAGTAGCCAACTCTACATTAGCTATAGGTAAGGGGCTATTATAATGTTTATATCTCGAAACGTGTATACGTTAGATGTGTAGATAGATACCTTCTACAAATGACTTTACATCAATAATACTATGCTCCCAGTAATTTTCAGTGCATATCCTGTGGTAATCATCTCTTGCCAATTAATATCAAAATATTATGCTAAAACAAATATGATCCTCATAGACATGTCATGCAGGTAATGGAAGAAGAGACAGACTGTTGTTTAATTTCAACAATAGGTCACCATTCTACGAAAGATCCACGCAGGGACAAGAGATCAACGAAAGTGGACCAAATTCAGATTTACCATTCTATGATCTAGGCACCATAGTTGCTGCCACAGACAACTTCTCTCTTGCTAACAGGCTCGGAGAAGGCGGTTTTGGCTCTGTTTATAAGGTAGCCTCCCTCAAATGTTGCATAGCTCTTTCCTAGTTGTGTTTATATGCAGCATACCTCACCTCATTTGGGTCGAGTAATGTGGGATCAAACTTGAACAACAACTAAAATAGCCTAAATTTCACTATAAATTGTTGAAAATGGATGTTTTGATTTCAGGGTAGGCTACATAATGGACAAGAAGTAGCTGTAAAAAGACTATCGAAAACTTCAGGACAAGGGATAGAAGAATTCAAGAATGAAGTGACACTGATAGCAAGACTTCAACATAGGAACCTTGTGAGGCTCCTGGGCTGTTGCGTTCAACAAGAAGAGAAGATGTTAATCTATGAATACTTGCCAAACAAAGGTTTGGACTCTTTCATCTTCGGTATGTACCCTATTTTAAACTTCCACTTTGATTCATTTTTCCTTCATATTCAAATATATTTTTGACACGTAAAGTGTAGTACTAACTCATGCATTATTGGAACTTCCAATTCTGGTCCAGATAAGGAAAAAAGGTCAATTTTAGATTGGAGGAAACGCTTTGAAATTGTTTTGGGAATTGCTCGAGCGATGGTATATCTTCACCGGGACTCAAGATTAAGAATTGTCCACAGGGATCTAAAAGCCAGCAATGTATTGCTAGATGCCACCATGAATCCAAAAATATCAGACTTTGGTATGGCTAGAATTTTTGATGGGGACCAAATCGCAGCAAACACGAATAGAGTAGTTGGAACATAGTAAGTATAATAGCAAGAGAGAGAGAAAGAGAGAGAATATTTAGACTGTGTTTTAACAATGTTATTAATGTTGTGTGATTACAGTGGTTATATGTCACCAGAATATGCAATGGAGGGGCAATTTTCTACTAAATCTGATGTTTTCAGCTTTGGGGTTTTGCTATTGGAGATCATTAGTGGCAAGAAGAATAACAGTTACTATCAGGAGAACTCTGTTAATTTAATTGGACATGTAAGTACGCGCACACAATTGCATTTAAAGCAAAGATCTCAACTTAACCATTCAGTTATAGAAAATAGCATTCCGTAAGTCTCAAAAACCTTGATTCTCACACAACACTTGCAATTTCAAGAGCAGGAACGGACTTGAAGTGAAACAAAAGGAGATTCATGCACTCCCCAAAACTGAGTGAGAAGAATTTAATAACTCTTAGGTTTAATGTGATAGGAAATCGACTATAGTCCCAATTTGTGTTTCCTTTGAATTTTCCAAAACAACGTTCCACTTACGGATTGCAGGGAAACTAGTAGGTTTTTGCCCTGCTCCAAGAGTAGCATTGCTCTTTGATTATTTACCTAAAGTTAATGCTTAGTATTGCACCAGGTTTGGGACCTGTGGAAAGGAAACAGTGCTCTGGAGGTAGTTGATTCAACATTGGGGGACTCATATCAAGCTCATGAAGTCTTGAGATGTATTCACATAGGGTTACTATGTGTGCAAGAATTTTCCAGTGATCGGCCTACCATGTCAGAAGTAGTTTTCATGCTTTGCAATGAAACAACACTCCCTTCTCCAAGCCAACCTGCATTTATTTTCAAGAGAGCAACTACTGGGGACTCATCATCAGCTAGTGTGGGAACTGCTTCTATAAATTATCTCACTATTTCTCAAGTCCAAGCTCGCTAAATTATCGTGTCATCACAGATTGTACATTATTTACTTATTCTAGCAGTATTAGCTGATTAACATTACAATTTCTCTCAGTCACTCATGCATTCACAGAATGAGATTTTGTCTCTGGAGCTAAGGTACTATGTGATGAGATTTTGTGTACAAAACTTGAAGGGTCTTACAAATAAGACTCAAATGTTATGAAATGAACTTATTTATTGAGTCAAATCAATTCAGATTCTTTTTCCAATGTTTTATTATTTATTTGTTTTTCGCACAAAAATTTTTTTGGTTTCCCGGTCAAAACAGATTTTCCTAACGAAAAAACTTTTAACGTTACCCAATAATTTTTTGAATATGTTTTCCGATACGAAAGTACATTTTTTTTGGAACTACCGTTTAAATTTGATGTGGGTCTTACCAATGCATGTGCAACTGTCATAACACCCCAGCTGATCAAAAGAATTTGATTGCAAACTGTTGGAGTATAGATAGTCTAGGTTTATTAGGATTTCTTTTCCCTTTTTTACCCTTACTAAGATTTTTATATTTGCCTAAACTACAAGGATGTTTAAGTCACTCTGTATTATTTTTGGATATATATACGGGGCTCTATTCTTAATTTGAGTATCCCTTTTCACTTACGTTTATTCCAAGTTGGTATCAGAGTCATACACTAACCCTACCTCAAACCCTAACCTTCTCCCTAACCTAGCCTCCACCGAGATTGCCTCACCGGCAAACTGCCTTCAAGCAAACCCAGCAACCCACTGCCTGTCCACCAACCCCATGCGTGACTGTCCATCCACCGACTGAAACCAAATCCACCGACTGAAATCAAAACCAGAAACATCCACCGACTCCATACCAGCGAACCAAAACCAGCGAAATAGAAAAACGCTGAACCAAAACCAACGAAACTCCACCGACAACCTGCTGCCCAGCGAAAACAAAAGCCCCAAAGCCTTCCACCGACTGCCCATCATACCTATCCTTATCCTCATAACAGCCTTCCAGCCCCTAGCCGCAACACTCCAACAAAATCACACCGACATCCACAAACCCACTTGTCTCACCCACTGCACCGACTGCCTCCATAAAGCACCGACTGCCTACACAGCAAAATCATCAACCACAAACCAACTGACCAGCCTGTCCACATCGACTGCCTCCATCAAACCAACCCACAATCAAACCCAAAAAACCAATACAGCTAAGCACCCGTGACAGCCAATATTATTAGCCGTCACAAACCAAGTAAGATTGGGTCACTGTTCATCAGCCCACTGCTGGGTTGCTTTTTTGTTGTAGCTTGGTCCTTCGCACACTTCGTCATAGTGCTGCCAGATTGCAGTATCTAGAACTTTTTTAGGAGGGAGCGGATCCTCTTCTCCTTTTATCTATTTTTGATGCAGTAGATCATTTATATTTATTGGATTTCTGGGCACCGTGACTTGATTATTTGGGAGCTTTTTGGACCTTCCTTATTTGTCGCTACTGTTCGACTGAAGGTATATTATTCTCCCTTATTTTATTCCTCTATTTATCTTAGAGTTATTTTCCTATCACGGGTGCCCTAGTATTGTTGTTGATATGACTACTACTGAGGGACTTGAGAACCCTACTGTTGACACCTCTACCGTTGAGACATCTATGGGTACTTCCACTTTTATGTTTGACCAGTATACAGTGCCTACTAGCACAGTTGCATTACTAGCATTACCGGGCATGATCTCTCAAAAAGTTACGGCACAATTGTTGAATGGTCGTAACTTCGCTGAGTGGTCACGCTCATTCCAGCTTTTCTTAGGCCGTGTAGGGAAGCTTGGTTGGCTGACTGGATCTCACCCAAAGCCAGCTGATGCCGACCCTGGATATTCTGCGTGGTTCTCTGAAAACTGTGCCATTCTTGGATGGTTATTTGGCTCAATGAAGCCCTCTGTTTGCAGGATCCACCAGTTTCATAGCTCTGTTCCGAAGCTATGGAGCGCATTATCAAAGATGTATTCTCAGTCAGGACGGGGAGTTCGTGTTTATGAGCTTTCTCAGGAGCTCTCATATGCTCGGCAGGGAGATATGACCGTTCAGGATTATTATGGCTATTTGACCCAGCGCTGGTTTGAGTATGAGTCTCTACGTCCTCTTGCTGCTATTCCGAAGATAGAGCCCGAGGGAGCAGCATTCTTGCATACTCGAGAGCAGGGGGATAAGATTCACAAGTTCCTTATGGGGCTTCGTGATGAGTCTGAGGGACCTCGTTCTCAAATCTTGTCGATGTTGACACTTCCTTCTCTTTATGAGGTGTATGGGATGATTGAGCAGCATGAGCGTCGAGTCCGTATTGCATCACTTCCAGTTGCAGCTTTGACTCCTTCGATTGACCAGATGGCCCTTGCAGCTGCTGTAGGGTCCCGTTCAGGATCCTTAGTCAGGGATGGGCAACGCTCAGACCAGCGCCGTCAGGGCGCCCCAGATCAGCGCAGACAGGGGGATTCCCGTCAATGTGATTATTGTGGCCGACCAGGACATCTCAGGGCTACTTGCTGGAAGCTCCATCCAGAGCTTAAGCCACCTTCTCGCAGCCGTACTGTTGCTATTGCTGAGGTACCACCGCCCACTACCGCCACTCCTGCTACTGCTCCTCCTTGGCAAAGTGATATGGATGCTATCACTTCCCGATTAGATATACTTATGTCTGCTCTGACTTCTCAGAGTCTGACTACTGCTGCTGTCACCACTACAGGTATATCTCGTGCCTTTCACGCTTGTGCCAGTTCATCTCCCCTTTGGATGTTGGACTCGGGTGCGAATGGTCACATGACAGGTGATGCCTATCACTTCACCACTTTTGACGAGCCGTTACATACACAGGTTCAGTTAGCAGATAGAACACATGCCCCTATTGTTAGTAGGGGTACAGTCCGTCTCCCAGATGACCTTACATTACATTCGGTTTTTCATGCGCCAAAATTGGCCATGAATCTATTATCTGTACATCAGTTAACCAGAGATTTTCACTGTGCGGTTGTATTCTTATCTGATTCGTGTTATTTGCAGGACCTGAGTACCAGGAGGATTATTATCAAGGGACATGAGAAAGATGGACTGTATTATCTTGGCAATCCATCTCCAGTTTCACCAATTCCTTCACCTGCACCTGCTTTGTCTTTTTCTGTTCCTAGCTTGCATGCTAGTATTTTACCTAGTAGTTGTCGTTATGATTTTTCGTCACAAACTGTTCAATTGTGGCATGACCGTTTTGGACATACAAATTTTAAATATTTATGTATGTTGTTTCCTGCTTTGAGTAATGCTTGTGTTGGTGGTAAACTTGATTGCGTTATCTGTTCCCTATCAAAAGCGATTCGTTGTATCTTTGTGGGCTATTGTCATCAATCTAAGGGGTATCGATGTTATGATCCTATTAGGCGTCGTATGTATCACAGTCTAGATGTTACCTTTCTTGAGCATATTCCTTATTTTTCTTTTAGTCCTTTGTCTGCCCCTCCAGTTGATGATACTCCCTTTGATTTTCCATTACCACAAGAGTCAGAGTCATTGATCACTATCCCTACAGGGTCATCCGTTTTTCCTCCAAAGGAGTCACTCATCCCTGTCAGTACAGAGTTACCAGTCTCTTTTCCTTTGCAGGTGTATGCTCGTTGTCCTCGCTCTCATCACCCTGCTGATATCCTCTCTACTTCAGGCGATGCAGGTAATACTTCTCAGTTTGTTGAGCATATTGATGCACCTGTTGTTAGTACTGATGAGATTACAGGTGCTGAGCCAGTTACTTTACCTGATAAGATATTATCAGTAGAGGATGGTGATTTAGGGCGTCGTTATCCAAGGTGTGATCGCCGTCCAGTTGATCGATATGGTTGGACCGCCAAGATTTTATCTCTCTGCTTATGTTTCTTATGGTAATCTGTCTCCCACATTTCGAGCTAATACTATGGCCTTATCAGATACGCTGGTTCCTCGCTCTATTTCAGAAGCTATGCGGGAGCCCTAGTGGGTTCTTGCCATGCAGACAGAGATGGACGCTCTTCAGCGTAATCATACATGGGATCTTGTCTCCTTACCTTCAGGGGTGAAGCCTGTTGGCTGTCGCTGGGTTTACACCCTGAAGTTTCTGGCAGATGGTACTATTGATCGTTACAAGACTAGACTTGTGGCGAAAGACTTTACTCAGGTACCAGGTCGTGATTTTGGTGCTACATTTGCCCCCGTGGCAAAATTGACTACTGTTCGGTTAATTATTTCTCTGGCTGCGGAGTACTCTTGGCCTCTTCATCAATTAGATGTGAAGAATGCGTTTCTTCACGGTGATCTGGACGAGATTATTTATATGGATGCACCACCGGGCTTTCGTGGTGAGGGAGAGTATGCTGGAAAGGTATGTCGACTGCGTAAGTCTCTTTATGGACTGAAACAGTCACCACGAGCCTGGTTCTCTCGCTTCAGTGATGTAGTCATACGATTGGGGTTCACCAGGTGTCATTCTGATCATACCTGCTTTATTCGACGGAATACTTCTGGACAGTGTGTCATCCTTTTGGTATATGTTGATGATATTATTATTACTGGTGATGATGTTTCTGGGACTGCGCAGGTCAAGATAGACCTTGGGAAGGCCTTCGATGTGAAGGATCTTGGATTTCTGCGATACTTTCTTGGGATTGAGGTTGCCCGTAGAAGGAGAGGTGTTGTTCTTTTTCAGAGAAAGTATGTTTGGATCTTCTTTCAGACACTGGGATGTTGGGGTGCAAACCGGCATTATCACCTATGATTCCAAACTTGAAGCTTACTGCTGAAGGTGAGGAGTTGAAAGATCCGACAGTTTATCAAAGATTGGTAGGTAGACTTATCTACTTAGCCAATACTAGGCCGGACATTTCATTCGCAGTCAGCCGAGTTAGTCAGTTCATGCATAGGCCATGTCAGCCTCATCTTGATGCATTTTATCATATTCTTCGGTACCTCAAGTCTTGTCCTGGACTTGGGTTGTTTTATGTATCAGGATCTCAGACCGGTTCTCTAGCCTGTTATTCAGATTCAGATTGTGGGGGAGCATGTGATGGTCGATCTACTACGGGTTTCTGTGCTTTTCGAGGGACTCATCTTATCTCTTGGAAGAGCAAGAAGCAGACAGTTGTCTCCCGCTCGTCCGCAGAGGCAGAGTATCGGGCATTGGCACTTGGCACATGTGAGATTATCTGGCTACGAT